TGCTGCAGTCTCTTGTGTCTCCCTTTTTGTGGATGGGGATGTATATCATCTGTTCCCAGTGATCTGTTTTATGCTATTTCTCTTATTGCAGTTTCCACTTCGTTTTTTAAAATTTGGGGTTCATCTTCATATGGCTGTTCATTACATGTGTCCTTCATTTTGTCATCTCTTTTGTATAATTCTTCTGTGTATTGCATCCAACGTCTTTTTATTCGTTCCTGTCTTGCATTGTGTTATTTTTATTGTCATAGATCATTCCAGTCCTTGGTTTGAATTTTCCGTATCTTGTGAAATAGATCTCTTGTTCTTCCCTTTTTGTTGTTTGTCTTCTATTTCTCTTAATTGATCTTTATACTAATTTTCTTTATCTTTCCGCACAAGCCATTGTACTGTTGCATTCATAATTCTTAGTTTGTTCCTATCTCCCTTTTGTTTTTCTTCTCTTTTTTTCTTTATTGCTTGTAGTATTTTCCCCCCTGTCATCCATGGTTTTTCCTCTTTCTTTTTGTTTATTGAAAGTGTCTGTCTGCATTCTTTTTTTATTATGCCCCTGGCTTCAGACCATAGTTCCTCTGGTTCTTGGTTTTTGTGTTTAGTAGTGTGAATCTGTTTCTTATGTTGTTAGTGAATTCTGTTGGGATATTATTTAGATTATATTTTGGAATAATATTTTGGTATAAGGGTATAATATTTTGGTACAGAACTGAATTGCGGTGCTGGATTGCATGAGCCTGAAATGATCCTCCATTAGCTGTGTTTACTATTGTTAAGGTGGCAGGGGAATCTGATTTCACAAGAACAGTGAAAGGGAAACAAAATGGAAAGGATCAGTTTTGTTTGATATCGAACAGCTGGAACTGCTGAAAGCTAGAATAAATCCAGCCTTTATCAATGGCATGACAGCTTGTATTGTAAGTAAAAGAAAGGTCAGCTACCCCATGTTTTCTTCATAAAACTGATGTCATCCAGTACTTGAAGCATGATTTCAGGCCTGAGAAAGTGCAGCTGAGAAAGCCAAATGCAGCCCGGTAGCCTTCTATTGTAGACGGTTTGACAATTCTACCACTGTCCCGCATCACCTTCACAATCCTAAGCAAGTGGTGAAAACAAGATGAAGTACACCAGTTGTTGACCACCATACATGGATAATGAGCTGTGTTCACTTTTTGGAGTTACAAACACAGCTTGCAAAAGGTCGTTTTGAGACTTCAACTTCCAGAATTCCTCCTCTCTATGCAGCATGGTCAGTGGCATAAGGTATGCAGAAATATACTAATATTTACCTAGATCCTCAAGTGGTGGGGTGTACCCCCCCCCAGTGTGTGTGATAGTATCTCAAGGGGTGCACTGACTTCATGTGCTGATAAGCTGACCAGAGAGAGACGGTACTTGGAACGTTTTTTCAGCATCCCCTTCAGCTTCAGATGGCATGGCAGGGAGTGAGAATGGAGAGAAGAAAGCGAGTGTCAGTGGGAGAAACTGGAAGTATGTCACCTTAATTAGGATGATTTTTTTTTTAGTACTTAGTGCAGCAATTGGAATACCTTACAAATTCTTTCTATAATGTTCGTATTGCATGTGGGACAATGCTTGATTTCATGACTTTGCATGAATTCCCAACATTACCTGGAAAGAATATGAAAGTACTCATACCATTTGCAATTACCTACTTTTGTGAAGCCTGATTCTCAGTTTTGGCAGCTATGCAAAGTAAGCATCATACAAGACTTGACATCACCAAAGAACTGAGAGCTGCTCTTTCTAACATTACTCCTTGTTTTAGTAAACTATGTACTCGGAAATAAGCACATGCCTCTCATCAAGAATAAACATTGTGTTGAACTGGGTATTGAATTTATTGAAATAAAAATGTTTCAATTAGAACGTTATTTCCTTATAAAATGTAAAAATGAAAATACACATACTAAAAAACATTTTTTTCCATATACTATGATGAGTAAGTGGGATCCTATGACATTCATGTGTAAATGTAAAAGAGGAGCCCAGGGGGGGAAAGTTTGAGTACCACTGAGCTATATTAATATTAAAAGTATAGACATGCAATGTTGTTAGGAAGCCTATGCTTCAGTGTTTGAAAGGCTGGTATAATTTAGCTTGTTTGGGAGAGAATGCACAATGTCATATTCATAGCATTCAAATGTCCTGAGGTGGTTGTAATTATCTTGGTTCCACAGTGTATCAGATGTTATGGACAGGAGGTTTGGAGCATCACTGATTCAAATTCTATCCAAGAATCTAGGAAACAGTGAGGTACTGTTGGATAAGAAGGCATGTTCCATATAGTGACACTTTTTAGAATTCTGCTATTGTTATTCTGTCTAGGGCATTTCATTCAGATGTTTTGTCAGTACATTTGGAATTGGGATATATTATGACTATCACTGAGATTATTGACAAATTT